TTTTTTGTCATTTGTTTGGTTTCACCAGAGTGTCTTTCTGTCAAAATTTGTTGCATCTCACCCCAGGACAGTGATGCGAATCGTGACGGCGCTGATGCCGAGTCTCCTTTTCTGTTGTTGTTCTCTTTTTCTGCCTCATTTAAAAACTCTAAACCAAGGGAAAAGGTCGGAAAATTGTCTTCGTTTTGGGACTGATGGGCTGAGTCTCTGTTTGTACCCAGTATTGTCGCGAAATATATTAGTTTTCCCGGCGCTAACAATAGGCGCTCGCGCGAAAAAAAGGTATTCTGGCGAAGCGATTTGCTCACGCTATCGGCGTGCACTATCGGGATTTTGAGCACGCTTACGTATAATGAATTTGATTGCGCGGCTCTGCTAGCTATGTTATAATGAAAATTATAGTTTGGTCTTGTATTTGAGGCCAAAGTCACACAGTAAATATCTTGCAATACTCAAATGACCTACCCCGTCTTGTACAAGTTCAATCTTTACGACGATGATGGTAATTTTTTTCTGACCTGCACTTTCATGATGATAAAGGGCATTTACCTAGAATACAAAAGTAAAAAACCAATCATTGAAATTTAGAACAGGAAAAAGCAAATGTTAAAAAAACTAAAAGAAAACTCCAAGTTGATTCGATGATGGCCCTTTCTGTCGCAGATTTATAGTAGCTCATCTATTAAGAATAAACACAGAATCCAGTTCGTATTTACCATATGTACGAGCTTTAGAAGATAATCTGCAGTGTCATCCCCGTGAAATGCGATCGTACTTTTGTCAGCTACCAATGTCATCTCAAGAAAGAATTGATCACCGATACGAGGTTTGGCATCTGCACACTCCTCGTCAAAATTCAGGTCTTTCGGCTCAGTACCACTTCCTGATAATTCTTCTGCAATTGATAATCAGGAGTGAGCTTTGCGTTAGAATCAAGTGCATTACAGATAAATCAGATATCTGCTGTTAAACGAACTGGCTATCCCTCGATTAATATCGATCCATTCCACAAGACAAATATTTGCTCGTCTAATACGCGCTCTATTTACCTTTTCAGATAAGCTATGATACACCTACAAATTTTATGCACTCAAATCCTCGCCCTTCCATTAGCACTCTCGTGCTCGGCGCTCAAGAAGGAGATTTTGATATCAGATTTTGAATATATTTTGATATATCAGATTTTGATATATTTTTTATATCGTCGTTTTTTCATTACCTTTAAGTTCGTTTTCCATAGCTTCATCGTCAATAGAACGCCTGACGATTAATTGACTTTTGGAATTGTTGTCAGCTAGAAGATGACTTGGGAGTGGCTGAAGGAAAAGAGACTGGTCCAAAAGTTGTATCAAACCTGTCTGAAGAAACCAAAAGAAAATGTTTATATGAATGTCCATTGAACTTCATTGATGTAACAGAGAGGTTATCGTTAGAACTACCTCCTAGAAAAAACAAACAACAAAAAATAAAAACAAGACTCATTGATACTTACTAATTTTACATATAATGACGACTTTTCCTTAACTGACAAACCAAAAGCTACATTGCCCCAAACTATCCTTGTCAACTGTAGTTTAGAGTGTTTAGAATGCTTTTTAGTACTCACCAGTCCTCCTTTATTACTAACAGCAACCGAAGACCCAAGCTCCCCAATCACATGACCATTGAAGAAAGAATTCTCGGGTGGTTTCTCAGCTGACACTGTTCCATTTTTGTGTCGCTCAACAGTTAGCCATGGTGACATGAGATCTTGGTTCTTTGTGAGGTTTAGATGCAGTGACATTCCGAAAGCTTTGACGTTGAAATACCACACACTGGGATCCTCGGCGTTTCTCTTCTGCGTGGCGTGAATATGGAGATTGTCTGAGAGATATCTGTTATCCTCATCAACTTGAGTAGGAGGTCTGACATCGTAAACTGGTACTGTAAAGTAAAAATGTGATTTTAAAATGTTAGCGAGTGGTATTGAAGTCAAAAGACCGTTATTGACTTTTCGACAGCTCAAGCAGAAGGCGGTATAATCTGGCAGTAGGGTCGAGACAACAGTCACACTCATCAATTACAGTCTTCTTAGGAATACTTTCACTCAGCAAATGGTTTGGCTCGAAAATGTGTTTGTATATTTCTTCTATTACAAAATATTTACGTTGAAGCTAACAATTCTCTTGGAGCTTTGCTCTTAGAAAAAAGGTAGCCTCTAGGAACAGATAGTATCCGCATGTAAATATCTCAGCATATTTACGCGCCAGATGTCTGTACACTCATGTGGTTATGGAGATGTGCGTTCTCTAATTGGCCGAGAATTAAGTTATAAGTCTGGTGAAGTTACCCTGCACGTGGTAAATAAGACAGTTAAACAAAATTTACAAAACGGCCATGCGTTCAGTTTCTCTGATAGTTAACTGAAGTACTGTTCTAAAAATAATGAACTTCACTTTCGGCCAGACAATTGCTGAATATCTGTAGATTTTACCTTCCTCGTATGAGCTTACTCCAAAATATTGCTCCAATTCGCTTGTATTCATCTTGAGATGGATTTCATCCTGTAAAAAGATGTAAATTGCTTAATTTGTAACGATGTTGTTCACTTGATAATGATTTCAACACTCAGAGAAATTTCTAAAGATACTGCGAATAATTTTCCGAATTTTGACACAAGGAAAATTTATAGGGGGAGAGTGTTCACTGCCGTCCATCTTAATATGAACCAAGTGAAAGATCAAACTCATTTACACCCCAACAAAACATGTTTAGTGAAACCAGGTTTAACTGAATGAAAATCAATCAGAAGTAGGGAAAAATCTTACATGGAGTTTACGTAATCACTGACTTTATTATCATGAGTATAACAGTGTATACTTTTTAGCCAACAAACCTCACTTTTAGCAGTTTCATCGAAGAAAACAATATAGTTTTACTGACTCCGCGTTAACAAAATGAAACGTGTTCTTAGCTTTGGTGTGAATTTACGTATAAGTCTGAGACGTGCGAAACAACTTATAAAAAAACAATAAAATATGATAAAAAAAACGACTGGCGATTCCCCTTTTAGATTAGCCAAATGCTCTGGTATATTTGGAATCAATTGGAGTAATAACGGGTGAGCCTGCAGGGCAAGTGTAACTTTGGAGAGCTAGTACTTATTATTGTCTTAGTGAAAGTTGAAGCTGCCATCTTTTATATTAATTTAAAGCAGCAGCAGCAGCATCAGCAGCAGCATCAGCAGCAGCAGCAGCAGCAGTAGCAGCAATAGCAGCTGCAGCAGCAGCAGCAGCAGGCTGGTAAGAGGAAGAAATTTGTGCCAAGAGAGGTGAGCGACGGTCGAAAGGAAGGAGAGGGGAGAGGTTGGGAAAATAATTTGCAACTATGTCTAACATGAATGTTATTACTTAGTTAAATACTACAGGGATATCAAGTTAAACAAGTGCAAACCGGTATATGTTTGGCTGTCACATCAAGGTTTCCATTTTCTTCTGACTCTGAGGTCGTCAAGTCTCCTTTCAATTACATGTCATGTCGTTAGTAAGGTAATAAATTCTGAATTTCTTAAATTCTTCTTGCTGTGACGGTTCGTAAGGTATTGGTAAAGCTACAAAAATTCTAACTTCTTACCTGTGGAGACTTTGAAACAAATTACGAGGGACAGGAAAGTAGAGAGATGCATTGATATCCTAGATTAGCTCTGAAAAGATAACAAACACCCTCTTTACTTTTTCATTCTATTTTTTCCCCATCGTAAAAACATACAATGGGTAAACATCTGAAAAAAGAATAAATAAAGGACAAGAGATAAATTAAAAGGAAATATATATCAAAGAGAACAGACATTCTAGATCTATTACAAAAGGCAAATAGGAAGCTCTTCAAGGCACGTTCCGCTGACCCCAACTGCCCGCTAAGCAAAATTATTCCGAAGAAAAAAGAGACAAAAATACAACCTCAGAAACTGAACTTTCCATTATCCTGGAATAAATTCGGAAAGGTTTAAGAGTGTGTTTGTAAATAGGCTAGTTTTTAAATATAATATTTAGATTATCATTTGTCTAGTTATATTTAATGATTCTTAGATTATCTTTTTAATATTGTAACTTGAGATATGTACTTTTATCTTAAGAGAATAAAGACTATTATTATTATCATTATTATTAGCATATTGGTTAAACAGACAAAACAGAAAACAATAATAAAGAAAAAATCAAATGAAAGAAAGAATAATATGAATAAGATCTGAGTATGACATACACACAACAAAACTAGTAAAATAAATGTAGCAAAGTATGAGCTACAAAACTAGCAAAAAAGGACTCCTTTCAATGCTCAGTTATTTCTCTGACATCTTGCACCATTCCTTGAAAATTAACCAGAACTACGGAGACAAACCAACAGACAAAAAAACAAACGAATAGATCAATGAACGAGCGAACGATGGATAGCGCAAGAGAGTGAGAATATGAGAAGAAGCAAACTTAAGCGAACCAACGAATCAAAGGAACGAAAGTAGAGAACAGAAAGCAACCGCTAAAGAAGAGAAACATTAACAAATGGAACGAATGTTGTTATTTTAATGTAACAACAGAGTGACAGTTGCCTTTTTCAACATGATATCATATTTCAGTCTCTCGCAGATGGAAATGATGCTAGGGGCCCTCTCTTACTAAATGGTGTCTTCAAAAGTACAATTGGAGCCACAACCTCAGCTTGACCTCTTAACTGGAACTAAAGAAGTACACTGAGCTGAATATGCATGATATAAAATCTTAATTTAATATTCTGTTCGAATTAGACAAAACAAATCATGCCGCAGATCTGGATGTTTTGGTTTAAAGAGGAAGTTATCACAAAATCTCAATCACTACTTGTGCTAGCTTGTCAGTATGCCTAATATCACCAGCACTTTTGAATTAGAAATGAATAAATTATGCCGTTAGTCTCGATGTTCTGTTTTAAAGAGGAAAGTTATCACAAAATCGCTAATACCACATGTACTAGCGAATTATGCCCACATATATCGAAATCTTCAAGATCATTTGAACCCTGACGTAAACCAGAATGATAATTAAAAAAAAAAAAAACAAGAGCATCAATTGTTTAATCGAGAACCTCAGAATACGCTTAGATGGCCGTTGTCTTCCCTTAAAACAATGAAAAACTATGCAATTTCGGCAACTTCGTAAGCTCCAGCGCTATGCAATCACGCTTTTGAATTGTTAGCTAGCATATGGTCTTTTTCCTGAATTTCTTGTTATGTTGTTATAATTAAGTCTGAACAGTGAACTGTTGAAATGAGGTACTTTGCATCTTTTTCGCAAAGGTAAAATAAAGGTGAACTTCAATGGCCTATAGAGAGATCTGCCATACATATTTACCGATCAAAATATACATCATCTTAAAGCTTTATCCTTGTAGTCTAATTAGTCTAATTGTTTATCTTGGCACACCATAATTAGCAGAGTCCATTGTATTTTTGAAGTTTTTGCAGATTTCGAGAAAGCAAAGCGCGTTCAAACTTTTTGATATAAGTCAGTTTTGAAAAAGGTTCACCAAAGGGTCGTTTAGGAAATATTAAATAAACTACGAATTTTTGCAACTGTCGGCGGCTTCTCGATATTTATGGGCAGTGGTTCTTAAAGTACAGATCAGTGTAACAAAACAACATCAACGTTATTTTGTCTTTGTAGAATCGGCTGGCTAACGACGCTTTTGTCTTACAAATTCTATTTAATATACCTTGATTATTTACCTCTTATTAAATTCTGGCGTTTGCTTTAGACAAAATAAATAAGAAACTTTGAGATTATGTCGTCATCCAAACTGTAATCCTTAAAGAGAAAACGTTTACTTGAGTCTCTGTCGGCATTTTAAAGGCTCGTGATAACAGAATGCGTATAAAAGCCTTTTAAAACATCGCGATTCTTAAAAGAGATCGAGGAACGATCAGTGTCAGCCGGCTTGGTTTTAAAAAAAGGTTAAAAAATTGCTATTGTCTTTTAAAATAACTCTTACATTGTTACCCTCGAAAGAATAGTTTAGTCTTTGGCACTTGGAAGGAACGAAACGGAAGCAATTCAAAAAGTCCGACACACGCAAAATATCCTTTGGAAACTGAAGTCGTGAATTACTTTCCGCAATAGATTTTCATACTTACGAAAAAAGTGGAGAGTGGCGTTTGTCGAATTCTGTTCAGCCTTGCCTCTGAGTCGCAGTTCTTGTTGTACATGTAAACAAGGCTGTATTGAGTACAAATCCTATAATGACAAATTTATTTTGTAGGTGCCATTAAATACTCGTGTATTTGATAAAGATCTGTTACTTTACTGCTTATAGACCGCCCCCAACACCGCGGTATCAAATGAAAAAAACTGTACAAAGACTTGAAAGATAATTAACTTGAACTAATTTCAATTGTTATAGGTGAATTGTGCAAGGGGGAGAGAGAGAGAGAGAGAGAGAGAAACTGTTAGAAAAATTGCAAGCGTGACAAGCTGAACAAATGAGTCATTTTATGTAGGACATGAATCGCTGAAATGTAACAAATCTATAAAGAAAAAAAAAACACTCTTTTTTGAGAATAATAAAGATACATGTTTCATAGAACAGTTTAATAGATCTGAATTTAGCACATTGTATTTTTTGTTAATTGCCGTGGGCTAAATTATAAATAGAATGAGAATCTGCTTCATGGAATATGTAGATTTGTTTCTCATCAAAGCAGCGGGATAGGAAGTACATACTTTTCCGGATAGTTTTTCCCATTCTTAAAGGTGATTAAACCAATATTAAAGTTTGCCATAAAGCAGAAAACTTATCCCACGTCATTTTAATATTACTCTTGATAAAAGATAACAACGATATTTGACGATTAAAACAACAGCCATTGAGAAGGGGCCCCCGAATATGTACAGTTCGTGTTCTGCTAAAATCTTTCCTTACGTTTAATTTATTTAAACTTGATTTACCTATGAATAGCTATGTATATTATATGACAGAGTCAAAGAAATATCAAATGACACAATCTAAAGATCTTAACAATAATTTTCTGAGAAAAGTACCAAACAAGATATTCTAATTTTATTGTTCCACAACAGCTGCAATTGTTGTTCAATTTCTTTTCAAAATTTAATCATGGGATACTCAAAAGTAATAATATCCCTGGAGTATAATTGTGCCAATATGTTGTGCTGTTTGTTCTCAGTGATAATAGTACTTACAAAGTGGCTGTTAAGGCGTAATTTTTATAATCTTAGCTTTGCATTTTCAAAACCAAACTTATTGTCATCCCTCGTAAACCATTTCCTATTTCAAGGAATTCAAATTTTCGCTTTTTCGATGCGACCATTTCTATTATTACCTTTATAATATACTGGTTTCGAAAACATTGGCTTCGAAAATCATGGAAATCTCGTTGAATATCTTGTCAGTAATGTTCCGCGCAACTTCTTATTCGAGAGGGAAACCCTGATGTTTTTCCTCAAAGACTTTTTTGTATCTATAAAGAAAACTTTATTGAAAGGTTCCATGTAAAACCATAATCAAAAGTTGTATTTTTTGTCCGCTCGCCATTCACTTACCATGACTCATATAATTACAGCATAAGATCAAATTCCATATTTCTTCATAACTCTATCAGTTCAACTTTGGTACGGTCCGGTTGGAGCCTCCAATATTCTTTTCCCTGCTATATTTTTTTTTATTCAATTGTTTTTTTTCCTTTTTCTGATGCGACAAACATTATATCCAATCTATTTCTAAACAAAAAAGTTAATAAAATAGTAGGATACTTACATTTCAAACTGTTTGGTGCGCTGAATATGAGTTTATTCTTATCGTCTGTTGGTTCGATTCTTCTCGTAGACTTCTTCGACCATTTGCAAAAAATGAAGACTACTCATGTTTAATGGTATTTTCATTTTGGTTTCGTTTTTCTATTACTTGTCTACAATGTTTGATGTGGAAGCAAAAATTTTCAGAGTCAAATTGAATCTTGCTTAAGGTGAGACAAAAGAAATATTTGAATACAGTTATTGATTCAATTAAATGACGTGTCAGTGTCAACACGTGGTGACGTTTAAGTTAAGGACACTACCTCCATGTTAATAAGTGATAAAAAACTGCTATGATATGTAAAGCTTTTAAAACACAACAAAGACACTTAGCTGTTATACGCAGTCTAAGATTAAAAGCCACACGGAATCTATAATAAACTCAACAAAGACTTCAGTCATTATGAAAGGCATAACTGAGATGAAAATACCGAGTCGCTTTAACAACAAAGACTTTTGAGAAGGCAGATTAAGAGCAATGTTACATTTTAAACGACAACAACAGAGCTTAAATATATAATTTACATCCTTCTCGGACTCTATTTACTTACTCACTCGAGTTTTCGACATTGGTGCTCAGTTGGTAGTTTGAAGGACGCTCGTCACATTTGAATTTAGCAATGGCCTCGTACACTATTAAGTTCTCTGTTGCTCAGAGATAGAGTAAGGGATAGCAAATCCTAAGGTCTGTGGTTTGACTCCTCAATTTTTCTTCTTCGTTCAACTCTCGGAAAAAAAAAAACTATTAATTTCGTTTTGTTCATTCGAAGACCGGGCCTAAAATTTACCACCCTTCTTTTTTGTCTCATATCAAATATTTGTCATGAACTAAAGACACAGGAAATTTCGTGTGGTAGACTACTTCTTTTTCTGAAGCTCATGATAAATATATCTTTGTTCAATGAAATCGGTTTTTTAAAGAATATTTTGTTATTAAAAAAATTCAAGGAAAAGACAATCCAGGAAGCTGTGGATCCTGAGAGTATTATGTAAGTTATTTCTGGCGGAGCACACAAAGGTTCCTGTGCTTTATTTGATTCTACACTGTGCATTGAACTGCCGAAAATGAATAAGCGGGTTTATCAAAGCTGACTTTATCTCTAAAGGTGACAAGTGAAAGCTTATCTTCCTTACGCTTTGAGAATAACGGAAGGCCCTTTTACTTCGTTGACAAATTTGAAAGATGCATTATTGTCGATAGACCTGCCTTGATATAAGAAGTCAATACCAGAGCCGCGGTGCAACCTGTTAACTACATTCTCGAATTATGCTCGAATTTCTCGAATTTATCTTTGATAAAGTGATAAAGTTATAATTATCCATACTTTACGATGCAAATTCTGTGGAGGCGTGTCGATAGAGCTCCTTTAAATTTCCTCACATTCTGCTCTTCTGCTGATGGGGTGCCTAACCACTATTCACTGATAAAAACGGCGCCTTAAGGTATCACAGAAGGTTCGCGAATGATATCGCCGACAGTTTGTTATCATTCGTCGAGCATCGAGTCGTTGAAAAGCTGTCCTGATTTTCCAGTGAAACTCTCCTTCCCTTTGCATGACCTCTTTTCTCCTTATTTTGCTAGTTAAAGCTCCTTCAATATCGACGCAGACAGCTTTATATTCACGCGTGTTACACTCAACCTGCTCTATCTAACTCCTTAACTGCAAATTGTATCTGTTCTTCGCTTTCTAGCACGCACCAGCGTCGACATGCTAAACAATGTCAAATGGCTTGCTCCAATGTGATTGGAAATCTGCTTTTATCAAGCCTTAAGCGGGAAATGTATGCTTTTACAGGGATAGCGCGCATAATTTTCACGCCACTCAATCTGAATGAAAACGCTAGAAACAAAAGCTAAGAAAGAAACCTTAAACAAAAGCTAAGAGGAGTCTTGAGCACGTTTCACGTTGAAACCTGCAGATGTTTCACAACTCACGAAATGTAAAATGAGCAGTTCTCTTTTCCGGAAAAAAACATCTAAAACTACGAAAAAATAGGTCGACTATTGTTAGTGTGCAGATCCACCGGATAGCTGCAAATGGCGGTGCAGGGCCGAGGATATCTGACACACATCACTTAGCCACCTTGGACTGCGTCGAATTGATCAGTGATTAAGGTTGGATCAGTCTATGTTTTTTGTGGGTAGCTCTCGCGCATTTAATCATAAGAATATCGCAAAATTTGTTTGGTTTCAGCATCAGTCCAGTTTTCAATGTCACGCAGCTTTATTTTATCAGGGCAGCCATGGAGTTAAGTATTTCTTAGGCTATGGAAACTCTTAAAGTTGATATGATGATATCGAAGATGATTTTACACCGTGTTACTCTCATAATTTGGATCAAAGCAGCATATTTTAAAATGTCACAGCTTTCCGTGCGCTTTCCTTCGAATTTGGAGAATAAAAACCAATGAAAATCCAACCTAATGGGAGATGAATAAACATGTCACTAAATTATCGACCTTTGCGATAAAAAATTGTTTAAGTCAGGTTTCATTATTCCTTGTTTACTTTGCAAATTGCTATAAATGTTCGATATCCCTGAAAAAGTATCGAGCTTGATAGCTAAAATCGCATAAAACTTTAGAAGTGGGCATAGGTAGAGAACTCTGGCTTTTGCGGCCATGTGTTTTCGCTCGTTTTCGTGCAAGGTTTTGTGAGAAGCGTGTTCCGTGTCTTCTTCAGAAATTTTGGAAAATTAGGTAAGTTCATTATTTGAAGGCAAATATTTACGTAGTCTATACCACTTTCATAAGTAAGTGTCAAACTGTTTCCATTTTTGAAATTCTCATTCGCTGCAGACAGTCTCCTTGTACAAAGACATTCTCAGGTCTCTAGGGAAACAGAAGCATTTTTTTTCAGTGAGAGCAATTGACTTGACTGATGTCGTGCGCTAATTAACTTCTTAAGAACTTTTTGTTTTGCTTAGTCTTAGACCGAAAGTAATGTTTCGCCATAATTTGTAAAACAAATATAAATTAAACATCAGAACTCGAAAAAATCACAGAGGGAAGGAGTGAAAAATTTGAGGCCACATCTTACATGTGGTCAAACGCTCATACTTCGTTTTAATATTTTTTCAGAAACGTTTGTGTAAGTTAAATCGCTTGTCTCATTATTTGTGCAAATATATCCAGGCTATGAATAAATTGAGATTTTTGAAAACACTCAATGTCTGGTTTCTCAACTGTTAGATCACTAAGTTAACTTTGGATCTGATGGGGGATGTATTTACTTGCATGGAAGTTGAACGTAGTTTGGTTTCATTTTATGTCAAAGATTCAAAGTAAAAGAATGCGACGTAAACGCGGTTTGCCAAACAACCATTCATTAAAGTCCCTTTGCATATTTTCATATCCATTTCACGCAAAGGTTGGTTTAGGCTGAATAAAGGCTGATAGTTTCGAAAGAAACTGTTAGGGGCTGCGTCGGTGGGAGTAACGAAATAATTTGGATATATCAACAAAGTTGAAATGGTAAATTGGCCACCGTAACGATTACAAAAGCTGACGTTTCGAGCGTTAGCCCTTCGTCGGAGTTGGTTTAATCTAATGAGGACATGGAAGAACAACCACTTTGATTCATAGTACAGGCTTTGTCGATGTACAAAGCTGTCATTGACAGCGTGAATTAATTTTTGCACAGAATTGGCAAGGACAAGAATTATCTTGAATAAACAACAATCACAGTTTTCATGATAGGCCGAAGATGCCTTTAGAATTCGAGGCAGACGTCAGCGATTGTCGATTGGGAAAGCTGAGTTATCTAACAGTTTGAAGGATCATCTCCGTAGGTGTAGCTTGAGCCTTTCAGGAATACATGTATGTAAAAAGACTAAATGTTAACTATTTCTTTGGGTTGACTTTGCACCAATAAGTTTAGTGCGCCGCCGGTAAGATTTTCTATTCTACTGCAAAAGACTAATGCAGACCTTCAAAAGTCCTCATTGAAATCTTGATATTATTTGTAAATCAAATTGGATCATCATTATCAAACGCACCGTGCTTACTGATGAAAAGTCCTTCCCAGCTTGTGAAGAAATTTCAGCCTCAGTTGATTCACAGAGTAAACCTATTGCAATTTGAGGTAAAAGACATACACACGCCTTTATTTGTTCTGCTCAGTTTTCAGTCGAAACCATTTGACTACTCTCATATAAGATTGACATCTTGTGTGAAAGGGTCGGAATAAGCAATCAGCTTCATACGAAAAGAAATTGACTTATTTATGAGGTTCCTGGGTAACTAATGAACCCAATTTCCATGTAATCGTCCCCTCTATTCCCTGCACAGTTTCTCCAGCAGTAAAATCAGAATATGCTACAAAGGAAGTCAGTCTGTTTCAGCCGAAGCTGGTTGTTTCCGTATTTGAGTCAGATCGTTCCTTCGTCCGAATTCTCTTCATCAGTTAAACTGACAGGTGAATGGAAAGAAATAAAAGAATATGTGAAGTTTTTTTCACACAAAAGTTAGCTTAACCGAAGTTGATTCCCCTACCAAACAGAGATTCACTGCCAAAGTTGTTCTATTTTACTCGGTATCTGGTCGTATATATTGCTCGAGCTACTTCAATTATTCTCCCGATATTTGTTTGGTGTGTTACTGATTATAACGACTAAATGTTAACTACGCCCTTCTAACATTGTTAATTTAGATATATTTAGATCAAATGCTCTTTCATTTATTAGGTCGGTTTAGCCCGTACTAATTTTATCTTTACATTATTTATATTATTTTGTTTTATTCAAGTTTTGTTTTATCCAAGTTTTGTTTTTCTTATATTGTTAAACCTTAAACTGTATATAAATTATTTAAATTTTATTCTTTGTAATTAGTCCTCCAGTATAGTTATTACTGTTTTAGGAGTATTTCGATTAAAGATAAAGATAAAGACAACGTTTAATTTCAAATACATAGCATGCAAAGAAACATGTGTTTTCGGTTTAAGTTCCTGCAAATAGGTATGTAAAAAAAAAATTTAAAGTGGAGTTCTTACGCAGATTTTGTATGCATAAACAAAAGGGACCCACTGCATCCAGATTATTTTCCCTGATTGACGCCGAAGAAAATTCCCGTTTGTAATACAAGCGTTCGTTGATCTATTTGGCTCTTTC